CCCCCCCCCCCCCCGGGCCCCCCCCCTCCCCCCGGGGCCGCCCCCCCCCCCCCCCCGCCCCCCGCGCCCCCCGGCCCCACCTACGCCTTGATGATGGCGCGCAGGGCGCGGCGCCGCTCGCGCTCGGCGAACAGGTCGATGAGGCGCGGGCCCATGGCCGGGGCCGAGCCGTGCAGGCGGAAGAAGCGGCTGTAGAGCCCCAGGGCCCAGGCGGCGCGCAGGGCCAGGGCGTGGGACACGGCGGGGTCAGAGCGCAGCGCCGGGGGCAGCAGGGCCAGCTCCGTGGTCAGTTCTGTCAGAAACAGCGGTCAGGGGTCACTCTGGGGTCACTGAGGGGTCACTGGGGTCACTCTGGGGTCACTGAGGGGTCACTGGGGTCACTGAGGGGTCACTGAGGGGTCACTGAGGGGTCACTGAGGGGTCACTGGGGTCAGAGGTTGGGGTCACTTCTGGGGACAAAGTCACCCTGAGCTCATCAGGGGGCAGCAGCGCCAGCCTCAGTGGACGGTTCTGGCGAGGTCACTGAGAGCCCCCCAAATTCTGGGGAGTCCCTGGAGCTCTGGGGACCCCCCCGGGGTTTTGGGGACCCCCCCGGGGGTTTTGGGGACCCCGCTGACCTCCGGAGTTGTTGGTGAAGATGCAGTAGAGGATGCGGTAGGCCGTGAACTCGCCCACGCAGCCGGGCAGGTTCTCCCCGTACAGCGCCTTCAGCTGCGTCTGGCACTGGTTGAACTCCTCGTGGTCGCCCTGGGGGGGCAGCCGGGACCCTCAGGGACCCCTCCCCAAACCCGGGGGGTCCCCAAAGCCCCCCCGGAGCCCCCCCCAGAGCTCTGCCCCACCTTCTCCAGGGCGATGCGGGCGTGCGCCTCGTAAACCTCCACCGTGAACTCGGTGCGGACGCCCTGGACCTGCGGGGGGGCACGATTCGGGGAGGGGTCCCAAACATGGGGAGGGGTCCCAAACACGGGGAGGGGTCCCAAACATGGGGAGGGGTCCCAAACATGGGGAGGGGTCCCAAACATGGGGAGGGGTCCCAGGACATGGGGAGGGGTCCCAAACATGGGGAGGGGTCCCAGGACATGGGGAGGGGTCCCAGGACATGGGGAGGGGCCCGAATTCGGGGAGGGGTCCCAAACATGGGGAGGGGTCCCAGATTTGGGGAGGGGTCCCAGAATGAAACAGGGAAACTCAAAACCCAGGGGAGCCAACCCAGGGCAACCACAATCACCTGGGGACCCCCCCCAAAACCACCTGGGACCCCTCCCAAAATCCCCGTGACCACCCCAAAAATCAGCTGCGAACCCCTCAAACCTCCTGAGACCTCCCCAAACCCACCTAGGACCGCCCCCCAAATCCCCCGAGACCCCCTCGAACCTCCCGAGATTCCTCCGAACGCCCCTGAAACCCACCTCAAACCCCCCCAGGACCCCCCAAAGCCACATCAGGACCCCCCAGGACCCCCCCAAAGAACTCCCAGATCCCCCCCAAGCCCCCCCAGGACCCCCAAAGCCCCCCCAAAGCCCCCCCAGGACCCCCCAAGCCCCCCCAGGACCCCCCCAAAGAACTCCCAGATCCCCCCCAGGACCCCCCAAGCCCCCCCAAGCCCCCCCAGGACCCCCCAAAGCCCCCCCAGGACCCCCCAAAGCCCCCCCAGGACCCCCCAAGCCCCCCCAAGCCCCCCCAAGCCCCCCACCGTCAGGTCCTGGCGCAGGGATTTCAGCTGCTCGCAGGCCCAGGCGTAGTCGCGGTGCTGCTGCCAGTGGGAGCGAACCAGCGCCAGCGCCTGACGCAGAACCTGGGGAGGGGGACGGGGGTCAGGGGGCTTGGGGGGGGTTTGGGGGGGTTTCAGGAGGGTCTGGGGGGTTTGGGGTGGATTTGGGGTGGGGTTGGGGGGGTTGGGG